ACCATTTCAACTTTGTTGACATATCCAAATAACCACTTCTGTCACTCTTGTGGGCACCATGCACTACATTTAGTACAATCAGCATTCATATTTCTTTAATAACAGCAGTGTAAATAAAAGGGATCTAGTAAATATTATGAAGACTCACTGGGAACTGCATATCTAAACAGGCACAAAGACAGCATGGTCCATTGATTGTCATGATGTGTTGATGCTGAGCATCTTGAACTTCTAGCTTTGGTTTCCATGGAGTTGGCCTGGAGAACAATAACATGGCAAATGTCAACTGATTTTGGCTTGCATTGCACTGTAAGGCTTCTCTCGATGAGAAAATTGCAATTTAGTCTTAAAGTAATTAAATTTCTAAAATTTTAGGCCATCTTAAGAAATCAAGAGCCCTTATATATCTGTGATACATTAAAATTCAGGCAGGAAATGAATAATATTTGCTCTCCATCTATTGAATTTTACACAATCATAGGGGTTTCTTTGAAACTTGTCTAACTACCAGAGTATAGTTCAATTAAAACCATGATTCACTTTCTCAGGAAAAAAAAGAAAAAGTCTATATCATCACTTTTGTTGCACATAGCCAATGACTGTTCCAGGTGGAGCTTGTACTTCAATCACTTGAAGACAACAGGGCCACCAACAGCACTGGCACCGAACGGGGCGAGAGAGGTGTATCACTTCCCTTTGCATGCTGTCAGTAATTGCATGCCATCTCAAATGCACGGCCTGGACCACACCACAGTCGAGTACAGCAGTCTGTTTCTGATATGATAACACAATTTAATGGGATTGAAATAATTAGTCCCTAATCAGCCATAAGGGATGCCTGAAGGGGTATGAGCTGGTAAGCAGGTTATAGTGTTCTGGTTTGTGAATTTCTTAACCCCCACCCTCACTCCTGAGGTATTTAATAAGTTGACTTAGGTCATCAAGAAAAAATGAATTGATTTTTCTTTAAGCATGGTCAGGCTTTCAACGCCTTGTGGCTCTTCCCACCTGTAAACATAATTTCCGCTAATGACTCCCTATCTTCCACCAGCATGTGTTACATTTGATATATTTAACAATTATTCCACGAGCGCGCATCGGATATGAGATGATAGATAGCCAACGAGGCGCATAGTGCTGAGTTGGCTATAATCATCTCATATCCAACAAGTGTGAGTGGAATAATTGTTTTATTAAAAAAAATGCCCCCAAGATATCAGACAAATCTTCTCGACTTTATTTTTTAAGAAGAAGCTGGATGTTACAATGTACAGATATTAGATTATGGTATATTGGCTCATATACCATAATCGTTTTTAATAAAAAAATTATTTCACTCGTGCTTGTTGGATATGAGATGATTATAGCCAACTCGGCGCTACGTGCTCGTTGGCTATCTATCATCTCATATCCAACGTGCACTCGTGGAATAATTGTTAATTAACTGCTTTGTTGGCTGATATAGAGATAGCCAATCAGCTTTGGCACAAATAAGCTCAGCAGATAAGAAACAAAAGATACAAAGCCATATTTACCTTCAAGAGCAAAGTAGACTTGCTGACTCATGGTATTGCATATCCTGTACTTATTTTTTCTCTCGCATCCAGTAAAAACTTTGAAATTAAAAGATGAAGGGCTGAATTCAATATGACTTAATAATGGGTATGATGAATATATGAAGTTCATATATTTTGAACTGCAGTTATAGATACATATGATGCACGATCCTCACTACATGAACTGCATATATTCATCATATCTGATTTATCATCACGGGTTTATTATGAATCAACTTAACAGCCTGCTCCCAGTTGGCTTGTTAGCTCAATTGCGCGTACAGACCTGATTTTTTTCAGGTCTGATTTTCCCTATTGCATAAATAGCGCTCTCTACTGCGAGGATCGTGCATCATACGTTTGACTTAATAATGTTGCTTTTGATATGAAAATCAATTTAGGCCAGAGAAAAGAAGGTGTAATTTATTTGTTTAACTGTTACAATATCATGCTGTGAAAAATTCCATACTTGCTAAGATCAAGCACAGGTTCAGATGCTAGCTGTTTCATTCCAAATTATAATATGACAAGGACTGATTCAATTTGGTGATTAACTTTACATACAGTGACTAACTTCTTATTGAGTAGGTGCAGGAACTATATAATTTCATTGAATGCTAATTTTTTTTTTTTTTACCTCAAGCCTGCGAAAGTTTTACCCTCAAACTCTAGTTTTTGTTCCACTTTCGTTTTTAAATTTTGGCTCTTCTTAAAGAGCACTAATCGACTTTAAAGGTGATCTTATCAAAAAGCAAATTTTGCGAGAAAAAAAATTTTTTTTGACAGCCTAAAAATTATTGTTCAAAGCCAACATACCAAGGCCTCTCATATCGATAGACTCTCAGAATAAGTTATCGTCAACAGTTCTTGTACTTAAGTTTAAAATCGTGCTTGAATGAATCACTTGGCTACATATAGCTACCTTCTACAAGATCGACCGTTTTATGAATCAGTATTTGATTGACGGCCAATAAATATTCCAGTCCTTGAGGGCAGCCCATTGGTGCTTGAGGTGCAGGCATCCAACTTATTTGTCCGGGAGCTCCTACGGTTGAAGATTGCAAAATCAAAACTTTTTACGTGCATTAGGCATTTGTTACTTAATAATGCATAAAAAATAATTTTATTTGTGCAACTGCATTAAAATAAGTTATTGTTATCGACGAATCTGTCGGGTAAGAGTTCCTTTAGCTAAGTGAAAAGCTGATAGAGCTGGAGTTGAGCTAAGCTAGGTTGCGGCTGGCAATCTGCGGTGGAGCTTTCCTTTCGTCACAACACCTGCAATTTTTGCGAAATGTTATCATGTTGTCCAGTCTTTACATCCAAAGTGTTGGCTAGTAACATTAGCATTTCACAGAAAGTGTTATTTTTGCGAACGTTTATAGTGCACCATTTCCTGGAAAAGCTGAGAACGTCAGTTTGTTCCGCCGTACCTGGTTGTTGTTGAATGACAGATTGCTGTGGTTGTTGATATCCATAACCTTGAGGGTACTCGTGAGGCTGATCGGCCATGCTTTTCAAGCTGGATCAAGGTATTAGGATTTTAACTCAGTGTTTTCTCATTCATAAAAAACATCAACTGTCTATGCCGACAACGCAACAGATGCGGTTTCTCGCTGCTGGAACCTTAGTTAATCGAGGAACAGGCTGCTACTGGAAGCGGAGGGTTAGTGGGAACGATAAGTGTGGAACGGACTCTAAACTAAGGACTACGGACTACGGACAACCACTATGGCCCTGAGGTATAGAAGACGGGCTAGAGTATAAAAAGGGAAAAAAACAAACAAACAAAAAAAACGTTTAACCTCAACACATTTTCTATAAAGTAAAGCAGAATATTTATGCAAGCACTTGAAACTAAACTGGATTCTCTAAAGGTTTTGGTGTACTGTTACGACGTGACCAAACTTTTTTGACCTCACTCTTGATGCAGAAGAGCACAAGGGCCGCACGACAACTGACAACAATTGACAGCTCAGAGTTGTGATTAAGAAATTGATAACTTGGGATTTTTAAGAGGCTTTTGTGGTCTTCTGGGTTTCTCTTGCTTAAAGGAAATTAATTTGGCTCATTGTCCAACTGAAAGTATCAGCATAAAAACAGGACAGATAAACAGAGACCTCTTATCCCCTCAAATTTCTGAAAAAAAAATACTTGACACTTTCCAATTTAGGAGATTGTAACTCTATGAATTCCACATAACAAAGTAAAATTGGCAAATACTCCTTCCTCTTTAAGGATCCCTGATGGAAATGGGTAAGATCATAGGTGGAATCAGTTGTAGATATATTTTCCTAATTAATCCTTAAGTTTTACTATGGTGGTCTTAAAATAGAGAAAATATCCCTGGTCTCAACTATTATGAGTATGATGTCTAAAATCCCCTTATACTCTTATCATTACTGAGGCAAGGTGACTGTTTCTTTGGGGTTTGAAAAAGAAAAAAAAAGGTAAAATAATACAAAGACCTTCTGTTTATTTTGAAGTGATGTACATAACTGTGAAGAGATGGAATCAGGCTGTTCAGGGCTTGTCTTCAGATCTACACTTGATGTTCCATAATCCCTGAATTAAAGATTCAAATTATTTGCTCCCTTTTCAATAATGAAATGCTTTCTGTGCATATTGTGCTGCTTCTTGCCTCACCATGTAAGTTTCACAAGAACGAAGTTTAGATTTTAGTTTCTCTAAAAAAGGTGCACTAGTGAGGCTGCTGGTTGGGCAATGACAATGCATTTGCCAAAGTTCTGAAGCTCTGGTGCTATTGAATCACGAGCTCGGTATCCTGTGGCACTCCACAGACATCCCTATATTCATAAAATAACTCCTTCAGCTTCTGTGCATACTCAGAATGCAATTTATTTATTTGTTTCTCCCTTGGATTTTCCACTTTTTCCACAGGAATGGGTGATCCAACTGAAAAATATTAAATAGAAACAATCTGGATCAATATAGATGACATGTAGGTCTTTGAAGTGTCTGTTTTAGAAATCTAAAGACAACTTCAAGTAAGTAACGAAGGTGAGTGAAAAAGGTATAATCTACCTATGATATTTTATAAATCCGCTTGATTTATCCTTATTAATTAGAACAAAGTACCTTTATCAGTTTCTGAAAAGGAGAACAGCTTACCAACGACAGTTATCGGTGTAGAATATGGCATTACACAATAACGTGCATATGGCAGGACTGAACAACTCTTCAAGAAAACTTTTATCCACTTCTCCCATTTGCTGCGACCAATCTGATAGGTAGTCTGGAGGCCATTCAGCTTAAGCTGATGACTGATCACATTGTTCTGTCCAAAAGCAAAAACTGGGACTAAATGAGCCCTGCCATTGTAAAGGAAAAAAAAAATTAAGTCCTGACCCTACAAATTTGGTGCTTGATAATCCTTCAATCAGCCAACTATTCTATACATTCAACGTTGGTGTTCATGGTTTCTAGGGTTTGAGGGAAAAACTTTGCTACCCCCCCCCTGCACTGCTGTCCATATGTGTGGTCCAGTGTCACAGAGCATAAAATTTTACCTTTTTTAAACCAGACTATTTATTTTAAAATCATACAAACCCACTTTAGCTAATAAGCAGGTGAACCTCTCTGAACATGTGACCTCTCTTGTTGTAGTTTAACACCAAAAATGTATCTCTTACCCAGTCTCTAAGGCGAGCTTCACAAAACCCTTACGCCTTTCCAGTGTTATGACATAAGAGTCACGGTTCATGTTAAGTATGTCACATGTGCCACCAATCGCTATGGCAACAGAATGTCCAGGTCCTCTCTGAGTCAACACAAACTTGCAGCTGTCATGATGGACATTTATGACACCAAGAGCCATGGCAATTTCACGAAAAATTGGGGAGCTACCCATAACTACAAAACAAAGTGAATGAATCAGTGAATAAGAGGGCGATGATCATTGTAAAAGTGATTACGTAATTCATCGTAGCTTGGTTTTTTTAGATTATCTTCTAAAGAAAGGGAGCTGTTAAGGATGCAATCACTCTGGGCGGTATTAAGTAACTAATTCAACAAATCATGAATAAGAAAGTGGAAAGTGAGTGAAAATCACACTGGGTTCAGTAACCGGATATCAGGAGCATCGAGCATGAGAATTATTTGCAACGCTAAGCCAATGCGTTTCTTCAACATGGTTAAAATTATCTATAGTTAAAAACGATCAGCCTATCCTTGATCTTTTCACGTAGCTCTTAATAGGAAATCTCCGTCGCAAGAGCTTCGTAATATGTCATGCAGCAAAAACTCGCTCTTTTTGACGCTGCGTTGTTACGTGACGACGTCGTTTAGTCACAAAACAAGGAATTAAAGTTGCTACCATGTTGTGTCAGTGAAGGCGGAAAGACTTAAAAAAAACATACGTGATCATTAGAAGACTTTTATAATTTAAAGTACACGTACAGGAGTGTGCACCAATGTAAGGAACAATTCCTGGAAAACTTTTACTGAACTGCAAAGCTTCTGATCCAAAGGTCACGGCTAGGCCATCAGGAAACATACCGTGAGGATGGTAACCAAATATGTAGTTCTTGGAAGAGTCTAAATCTGAGGTCTTAAGCAACGTGACTGGGAAATAATCTCGCATGTACCTAAAGAAAACGTTATTTCTCACAAATTCTGCTCTTCTTCCTCCACGGTTAGGGGTCTTCAGATCAACTAAAAACCACCAGGCTAAGTACGCGAAGCCGAGTGGCCAACTAAAGTGGAAGCATCGATAAAGTACGTAAAAGAATAATGGGCCACAGAAGAAAAGCGTCCCAGACAACAAGATGAGGTAGAAAACGATAACACTTGCTCCTTGAAGACATCGAGATAAGCAGTCAGCCATAGAGGCTGAAATGAAAGTTATTCCTGTTTCTAGGTAGTCCTTTAATCATAGGGAAAACTCACATGGAGTCGCTTGTTATTACATAAGTGGTCCACCGCTGACCACAAGCCGTCTCAAATGGATGGTTCATTGGCACTTTCAAAAGGAGCATGTGTACTGCGTTAGACGGGCAAGTGGAACGAATATACGCTTCACGACGGAGAAAGAAATCGATAATGTCTTCCCCTTTTTGCATGATCACATTATGCCTGAGCATGATCACATTACGCCTGATCACATTAGTAAGCATGATCACCTTACGCCTGTTCTTTTTAATCTTCATTGGCTTCCCGTTAATCAACGAATTATTTTTAAGATTTTACTTATAACCTACAAGGCACTTAGCTACTTGGCACCGTCGTACATTTGTGATTTGCTTACATCTTACACCCCATCGCGTCAACTACGCTCCTCATCCAAGCACCTTCTGGTTTCTCCATCCTATAACTTGAAAACATATGGCGCAAGATCCTTCTCTGTAGCAGCACCATCATTATGGAATGCTTTGCCATGTGAAATTAGAAATGCTCAGTCTGTGTCTGTTTTTAAAAGTAGATTAAACACTTTTCTTTTTAGAAAAGCCTTTTATAATTAATATTAGCTGTCTTAAGTGTTAAAGTTAGTTTTTGTAGGCGCCTTTGAACAGTAGGATACTGGCGCGGTATAAATCTTTTATTATTATTATTATCATTATTATTATTTATTATTATTTTTGGATGTCTTAATCGACAATACCCACCGTAGTTCCGTCGTCACTAGTACCTTCCGTAAGAAGACCTTCACGGGTCTTCTCACCAATTACTTTAGTTTCGCACCTCTGTCATACAAAATCGGTCTTATCCGGAACATTAATTGCCAGGGTTTTTAAAATCAACAATACTTGGTTGGGCTTCCACAAGGACATTGTTAAATTACTTTTCATTTTGCGCAAGAATCTTTTCCCCATTCATCTTATAAATGCGTTTATCGATATTTGAACACAGCCATCGACCGAAATGGCTCCACTCAAACACCTCCTTCTTCTAATATCCCTTCACAGGGCAAACAATACTTTTATAAGTTACCTTATTTAGGCCGTTTTTCTACTGTAGCTCAAAACAAAATACTTCACCTTGTTAGTCGTTTTTGTAATGATCTCGACATCAAATTAGTGTTTACCACGTTTAAATTAAGAAATCTTTTCTCGGTGAAAGATTCCGTCCCTATAATTACTGATCCCCATGAAATTCTGTTGTTCTCTCTCTGCATTAAATCAACGATTGTAGTCTTTACGATGACAAAACAACTGTTTGAGGAAAACGGAGGCGGTCCTTTTTGTTAGCGGGGAAAGTATCAGGGGTAATATAATTAAACGCGCTAAATAAGCATGCTGCAATATTAAAAATATTGCAGTGTCCAGGCTGCAATATTAAAAATATTGCAGTGTGCAGGTTACAATTATTAAAAATATTGCAGCTTGTTTTAGGAAATTTAATGTATAAAGCGCACCAAAACTGATAGCTTACCTCATTGTCAACATTACCGTTTGTGTTTAACTCTCGTTCATTGCAACTTAATTTTTTGTTTCGAAGTGCCACTTTAATCAACTAAAACTTTCAAACACTGAAAATAAATACAATCAAGGAGACTGATAGTATGGAGCACAATCTATTGCATTAAGAAGTATTATATTCATCAGTTTATTTATAGGAAATAACAATAATTTTAGTGGAATTAGTGCTAACAACTACTGACTCATTACTGCCCTCTTGATCACATTTTTTCCGGACTTACAACTTTAACCTCTCGTGCAGTATAATTTTCCCCAGCACCGTTTTCGTCCTTCTTCTCTACATCAATTACAGCCTTTTTTGAAAGAGAACCCTGCAAAATTTCGCTTGCTTCCCTTTTGAGTGCTGATGAGGTACATTTATATGCTCTGACATCATCGGAAGACGGATGACCAGTCGTTTCTTGGATAAGTTATTCTGAAACACCACCATGCATCATACAACCGTGTGGGACAAGAACGCCTCAGAGAGTGATTAGTGAAGTGCCCTTCGATTTCTGCTGAAATATCTGTCTTCGTAGAGCTCTGTGTAATAAATAATCCTTCGTCTTCCGACGAATCCATCCCCTTTCTAAACCCAGGTTCGCACTGAGTAAAATGACTGAATTCTCTGACTTATAAAGTATGCAAATTAGCAGTGTTACACGCCTTGCACGAATGAATTCCATCATTAGAACTGTTTTGAACAACTATAACAACGATCTACAATAACAACCCTCGGCACAATTAAAATCTAAGATATATTCATCACAACAAAGAACAATAGCAATGAGCATCACAATTATCAGACATAGGTGCGACTAAAATCGAAGATCCAACACAGACACAGAACAATAGGATTTCATGGGGATCAATAATTATGATAGATAATTACTTCGGCACATGGCATTATGAGAAATATTGCAGCCAGCTTCGGCCTACGGCCGCAATATTTCTCATAATGCCATATGCCTCAGTAATTATACATTAACTCCCAACTTCTGTGTTTTATTTATCTCTAGTTGCAATATGCAAGGTTTTTCTCTATTAATATAGGTTTGCCTTATTTATTATTCTTCTTCCATAACTTGTTATTTTAATCACGTTCTTGTTTTGCCCCGCCGCGACTAGCTTCTTAGCTATTTGCGGGGCAAAACATTTTAATCATGTATTTTTGTAATATGAATTTTCAATTATGTAAGTCTGTAATCAGAATAAGAATAAAGTTTTGTTGTTGTTGTTGTTCACAAAAGCAAGTTAACCACCGTATGGTTGACAATGCAGCAAAGAGTAACTTTCATGTGGACTCGTTCCCGGTGCAAGACCTTCCACTTTCGTTCAGGCCTCATTTTCCCCAAAACTGACGAATTCATGTTTCAGAACGGCAGTTTTCTCTAAGCAACAATAGAATAATTGTTACATTTTTGTTTGGGACCGTTATTAATTATGCTTAAGGGAATTAGGGTGAGGAAATCATGCAGGAAACCGCCGTAAGGGAGCAAGGTGGCTTGTCACGTTGCTGTACAAAGAACGCTTCAGAACATTGTATGACTTTTTGTTTTCTTAAAATGTAGCCTTGTTTCGTTTTGATTCCGTGATTATAAAATATCCTTTTTTGGCTTGCCGCACAAAGACTTGTTTCAGTTTAGTTTCCTTTAAGTCATAGAAGTATATTAGGCTTCTTCTCACGCGAACATTTTAGTTTTAAGGAGTTGTCCCTGGAGCAAAGAGGAGTTTTATAGGAGTCTTTCGGAGTTTTTTGACAACTTGGCATGGAGTTTTCTCATCCCCGGAGCCAAGATCAGACGTAAGTCGCGATCATGAAGTTTCTATCAGTTTTTAGTTGTGTTTCCTATCGTCAGATTTGTAATCTAGCTCGTTTCCTTAGCTTAGAAAAATCGTGTATTCCTTTTTAGTTTTCACCGCTAGTGTTGTAACAAGTCGGCTAGCCCGTTTACATTATTTTAGTCCAATAAAAGTGTGTAAGAGTCTGCTGTCCGTCCTGTACTTCACTATGGTTGACCTGGCGAATCCAATTACGCCACACCCCGTGTCTGCCGTGGGGAACGCGACACGGCTCCTATAGTGATTGGGTTGATGGAGGAGGCGAACGGGAGGGAGAATGTTTCAAAAGATGTGACTAAAAAGCTTTATTACAATAATCTTTTGTTTTTATTGCCCCGTGAGTATTAAATAGTAAAATACTAATTTATCACAAACAACTCAAACTTACAACGAGAAACTCTTTCTTTTTGGGGCAAGAAAAAATATGTTCATGCACTTGGAGGTCGGACAGTTGATCCTCACTTCTTTCAAGATTCCTAGGGAATGGAAACTTTTGGTCCATCCTGCAAACTAAATTATGCACATTTCAAAGTCTTCCGTATTGGGAACTGGGGACGTGTGCACCATTTTAGAGATAGCATCAAAGGACAGGCTTTCATTTTCATTCCATTTGCTTGCTCTCTACCCAGAATTTGAAGATGATCATGCTCCTAAACAGAAACAACATGTTGTAAATTAATTGGCATTTGATATAGTGTGGTATGAACATGCTTTATAGCGTCAGGATAATTGAATGGAGATGGAGGTTTGACTGTAGATGCCGAGTTTCTTTAGAGTTAACGTTTTTATGATCTTTACTCGTTAGAATATATAGGGCCGGTCAAAGAAATAGAGAGGGGCGGAAAATATGGATTAGACTGGATTGGGAGCATAAGGTTTTGTTTAAAAAGCCTTCCCTAATTTCGGGCACTCGAAAGTTTTTTTACCTTGACAGGTGTAAGTATGCTGACCGTCACATATTGGTGTTCGAAGCTTGAATATCTGAAAAACATGTGAACCAAAAGCATAGGAGGCAATAACGAAGCACGAACTTTATGACTTCAAACGGAAACTGGAAAAACCAAAACGACAAAAACCTGGCACTGAGATGAATGCCGTTGCCATTTCTTTTTACCATATTGTTAAACATGCTAACGGTACGTAGCTCTCCTTCGCTCATCACTGTCGTTTTAATAGCAAAGGCTACTTGATATCATTTGAGCGATAGTTATCTTATGGTTGACCTACCTCAAAGCCCGGGGTTTTCGAAAGCTGGAAAACGCTATCCAATGGAAACAGTCCTTTTCTAAGGCTGGATTAGTGTTAAGATCTAATATTAGTTATACCTTTGAACTTCTCGACATGCAAGTCTTTAAGTACACTAGGTGATATGGCTGTTCCCAAACTATGGAACAATCTTCTAGATTTTATCAGAATTTTTTATGATTCAAATAGTTTTGTTAAAAATTCTCTTAAAACGCATTTGTTTAAGAGGGCGTTCCTTACCTAATTATCACGACTATAATTATTTTAATTAGACTTTGTACATAGTAGACCGAGTTGCTTATTAACAATCATTATCTTACTTAATATTATTACTAGTATTATTACTGCAGTGCATAATTTTAATCACTCAGTTCAGTTTAGATTGTTGTAATTGGCTAGTTCTTCACTTAGACTGATTATAATGGCAGCTGAAAATGGAAAATTGATATCAGGGCAATAAGAATTAATAAATATTATTAAAGATTATTTTTTAATTGTGCAAGAACTTGCATCGTCTCCTTTACTTTTTGGGTAACAGTCAGTTGCCATGAAACTGATTGATTTTAAACGTTCTTCTCAGTGAGAG